TCAGGTTAGGGTGTGTAGGAGAAAGGGAGATTACTTCCCAGTTAAAGTAGGTCTTAGACAGGGATGTGTAATGTCACCATGGTTGTTTAACCCAAGACTGTCGCAACCCCAAATCCTGAGGTGTCTCCTGGTGTCGCAAAATTTAAAAAAGAATATCTTTTCTTATGAAATGACAGAGAATCTTTTCCCGATTGTAATGACACCAAAAGAACGAAATTTGATGGAAAACTGACGGAATTACGCTCTTGTGAAGTTAGTGACCTCGGCGATATTTACGAATCGGCGATTTCGCCCACTTTGAGCCCTATTTTTGGTTAATTCCATTATTCCAGTTGACCAAACTCATGGTTATTTCTTTAGAATTCCATTTTTTCTATTGATTGAGTACAAGAAACTGCCCAATAACGTGGTCAGAAATTTGCAATTTGGCCAATTTCACGAAAATTAAAAAATATAACAATTTCAAAATAGGGTTCAGAATGAACAATGTAGGCATTCCTGGCTCTAAAATAACATTATCTTTGTTCATCAGTCACGTCTCCAGGCTCCTCTGATATTACTCTTGCTTTCTATTTTGAATTTTTATTCAAATAAAAAATAGAAGATTCACTGTTATGCAGACTACTACAATATTGTAATAATTGTATAAATAATGTCAACCCATTCATGACTGCATATTAGAATGGGTACTTGGATATTTATTGGAAAATTACATCATTTGTATACTTTTGAACATCGGCAAAAATCAAACATTTCCCCTACTTTGAGCTCCATTTCTTTTTATAGTAAAACCAATCAATATCACCTCTATTTCTATAATATGTTTTCCATTCTATCAAATGAGACCAAGAAAACGAGAATACAACCATAAATATCATACAAAAATAGACCACAAAGTCGGCATTTTAATTTAAAAAAAAAACGATCGGAGTTTTTTTTTCTCTTTATGCACTGCGTGCTGCAGGATTTTTTTTTATATGGAGCACACTGACCACACAGACCCATTCTCTCACATGTGGGCCTACCAGCTTTCTCCTGCTTGATTTGAAACTGCTAGAATTTATGAGTATATATATTTTTTTATTATTTTTTTTATTATCACACTGGCCGATTCCCACCAAGGCAGGGTGGCCCGAAAAAGAAAAACTTTCACCATCATTCGCTCCATCACTGTCTTGCCAGAAGGGTGCTTTACACTACAGTTTTTAAACTGCAACATTAACACCCCTCCTTCAGAGTGCAGGCACTGTACTTCCCATCTCCAGGACTCAAGTCCGGCCTGCCGGTTTCCCTGAATCCCTTCATAAATGTTACTTTGCTCACACTCCAACAGCACGTCAAGTATTAAAAACCATTTGTCTCCATTCACTCCTATCAAACACGCTCACGCATGCCTGCTGGAAGTCCAAGCCCCTCGCACACAAAACCTCCTTTACCCCCTCCCTCCAACCCTTCCTAGGCCGACCCCTACCCCGCCTTCCTTCCACTACAGACTGATACACTCTTGAAGTCATTCTGTTTCGCTCCATTCTCTCTACATGTCCGAACCACCTCAACAACCCTTCCTCATATACATCAAAAACTGTGGCTCGTAAGATGTATATATACGACCAAAACAGTCAAAGGGTTAATATTTTAATAGATGGGGTTGTAAAAGAAGTAAATGCTAGGGTGTTGGGGAGAGGGGTGTGATTAAATTATGGGAAATCAAATACAAAATGGGAGTTGACTCGGTTACTTTTTGCTGATGATACTGTGCTTTTGGGAGATTCTGAAGAAAAGTTGCAAAGGTTAGTGGACGAGTTTGGTAGGATGTGTAAAGGTAGAAAATTGAAAGTGAATATAGAAAAGAGTAAGCTGATGAGGGTATCAAACGATTTAGATGACGAAAAAGTGGATATCACATTGGAGAGAGGGAGTATGGAAGAAGTGAATGTTTTCAGATATTTCGGAGTTGACTTGTCAGTGGATGGGTTTATGAAGGATGAGGTTAACCATAGAATTGAGGAAGGGAAAAAGGTGAGTGGTGCATTGAGGTATCTGTGGAAACAAAAAAGGGAATGAATGAAAGTATAGTGGTACCAACACTCTCATATAGGTGTGAAGCTTGGGTTGTAAATGTTGCAGCGAGGAGGCATCTGGAGGCAGTGGAGATGTCCTGTCTAATGGCAATGTGTGGTGTAAATATTATGCAGAGAATTCCTAGTGTGAAAATTAGGAGTAGGTGTGGAGTATTAGTCAAAGGGCTGAAGAGGGGCTGTTGAGGTGGTTTGGTCATATAGAGAGAATGGAACAAAGTAGAATGACTTGGAGAATGTATAAATCTGTAGGGGAAGGCAGGCAGGGAAGGGGTCATCCTCGAAAAGGTTGGAGGGAGAGGGTAAAAGTGGTTTCGTGGGCGAGGGGCTTGAATTTTCAGCAAGCGCGCATGAGCGTATTAGGAGTGTATGGAGACAAATGGTTTTTGGGACCTGACGAGCTGTTGGAGTGTGAGCAGGGTAATATTTTGTAAAGGGATTCAGGGAACCCGGTTAGGCAGACTTGAGTCCTGGAAATGGGAAGTACAATGCCTTCACTTTAAAGGAGGGGTTTGGGATGTTGGCAGTTTGGAGTGACTATCTAAACTGTCGTATCTGGGCGCCTCTGCAAAAACAGTGATTATGTATGAGTGATGGTGAGTGCTGATTGATAATGAAAGTTTTTTCTTTGTTTCTAGGGGTTTTCTTTCTTTTGGGTCACCCTGCCTTGGTGGGAAATGGCCGATGTGTTAAAAAATAAAAAGAAAAAATATATTACACTGCAACTGCCCACGGAGGTACTACTATCCTGGCAAGTGAGAATGAAATGGAAGCCTGTAATTGTTTTACATGATGGTAGCATTGCTGGTGTCTTTTTTCTGTCTCACAAACATGCAATATTTCAGGTACGTCTTGCTACTCCTACTTACTCTTAGGTCATACTACATATGCTTTTTTTTAACAGGTTGGCCATTTCCCACTGAGGCGTGGAGTTAAAAGATAAAGAATTACATAAAGTGGGAGTTGTCACAGTTGCTCTATGCTGATGACACCGTGCTGTTGGGAGGTTCTGAAGAGAAGTTGCAGAGATTGGTGGATGAATTTGGTAGGGTGTGCAAAAGAAGAAAATTAAAAGTGAATACAGGAAAGAGTAAGGTTATGAGAATAACAAAAAGATTAGGTGATGAAAGATTGGATATCAGACTGGAGGGAGAGAGTATGGAGGAGGTGAATGTATTCAGATATTTGGGAGTGGACGTGTCAGCGGATGGGTCTATGAAAGATGAGGTGAATCATAGAATTGATGAGGGGAAAACGGTGAGTGGTGCACTTAGGAGTCTGTGGAGACAAAGAACTTTGTCCTTGGAGGCAAAGAGGGGAATGTATGAGAGTATAGTTTTACCAACACTCTTATATGGGTGTGAAGCATGGGTGATGAATGTTGCAGCGAGGAGAAGGCTGGAGGGAGTGGAGATGTCATGTCTGAGGGCAATGTGTGGTGTGAATATAATGCAGAGAATTCGTAGTTTGGAAGTTAGGAGGAGGTGCGGGATTACCAAAACTGTTGTCCAGAGGGCTGAGGAAGGGTTGTTGAGGTGGTTCGGACATGTAGAGAGAATGGAGTGAAACAGAGTGACTTCAAGAGTGTATCAGTCTGTAGTGGAAGGAAGGCAGGGTAGGGGTCGGCCTAGGAAAGGTTGGAGGGAGGGGGTAAAGGAGGTTTTATGTGCGAGGGGCTTGGACTTCCAGCAGGCATGCGTGAGCGTGTTTGATAGGAGTGAATGGAGACAAATGGTTTTTAATACTTGACGTGCTGTTGGAGTGTGAGCAAAGTAACATTTATGAAGGGGTTCAGGGAAACCGGCAGGCCAGACTTGAGTCCTGGAGATGGGAAGTACAGTGCCTGCACTCTGAAGGAGGGGTGTAAATGTTGCAGTTTAAAAACTGTAGTGTAAAGCACCCTTCTGGCAAGACAGTGATGGAGTGAATGATGGTGAAAGTTTTTCTTTTTCAGGCCACCATGCCTTGGTGGGAATCGGCCAGTGTGATAATAAAAAAAAAATAAAAAATGTATGTATATATATGTATATATATATATGTATGTATATATTTGCATATATATGTATGTATGTATGTATTATATATATATATATATATATATATATATATATATATATATATATATATATATATATATATATATATATATATATATATATATATATATATATATATTTTATTATCACACTGGCCGATTCCCACCAAGGCAGGGTGGCCCGAAAAAGAAAAACTTTCACTATCATTCACTCCATCACTGTCTTGCCAGAAGGGTGCTTTACACTACAGTTTTTAAACTGCAACATTTACACCCCTCCTTCAGAGTGCAGGCACTGTACTTCCCATCTCCAGGACTCAAGTCCGGCCTGCCGGTTTCCCTGAACCCCTTCATAAATGTTACTTTGCTCACACTCCAACAGCACGTCAAGTATTAAAAACCATTCGTCTCCATTCACTCCTATCAAACAGTAGGGTACTACTACAGTAGGTTCTTATGATTTTAAAGCAAAACGACTAGCCGAAATTAGTGCTAGATTACTGATGGAACCGGATTACTGATTGCTGGATTAGTGATGGTTAACCTGTACCTCCCTGGGCAATTGCTGTCCACCACCTACTACCTAGAACAGAAATATTTGATATACATGAAATATGAATGGAAAGATGCCGAGACTGTATTCCTTGATTAACACATTTTCTTATAATTTTTGCACTCTTGATTAAATCCTAGATTGTAAAATAGGTTGTTCACAGAAGCACCACAAAACAATAAAACATGCATGTGGATTGATTACTGATTAATTTCATCAGGTTTTTACCAGGAAAAAAAATCAATATCTGGGTAGAACCCGGTAAAAGATCAGATTTTACTTGACCAACCCTGCATGCCAGCTCTCAATTAAGAATAGTACCATATCCACTTACCTTCACGTTCCACTACAGCCTTGCCCAAGGGAAGCACAAAGTCTTTGGATAGAACTTCATCAGAAACATCGAATGATGTTCCATACAGGAGTTCATTCTCCAACACAACTACAGGATCAGGGTCACGAATGGCTGCCTTCAAAAGGCCTTTTGCATCTTCAGATGAATAAGGAGATACCACCTGGAAAACATGTAAATTCTGACTTCTAGTACTTTACCACCATCTTTAATTTCTTGATCATTCCCACTGTCTTTAAGTAAAACAAAATCAACCACTTCCCTCTTTCCAATACTATCACTTGACTTTTTACATCCTAATGTATAAATGTATACATATATGCAAAAATTATAAAACTTTCAAAATGTCCCAGTTCTACCTTAGGCCTTAAAACTACTTTTTAGAGCCAAGTGTGATAGTTCCTTCTAAAAAATATAAGAATCTTGGCCCCTGAGGTCTTTCTCTCAAAGTTCCATTCAAGCATCTTATTCATCATCTTGCTGGTTTTCTCATACCTGTCAGACAGCAATATCTTGGGATCTTGATGTATGGAATTCCTCAATGCTTACCTAACCTAAAAACATGATCTACTTCCAATAATGGATTTTGTCCACCAATAACACCACCTCTAACTGCTTCACTTCACTGGTCTGCTATAGGCCCCTTCTCTGCACATATACTGTACTTTTATCAAGACTGATGGACTGAACACATCATCTAGGACTCAAGTTTGTCTAACTGGTTTCCTTGAATCCCTTTATAAATATTACCTTGATCACACTCCAACAGCATTATTCTCCACTCACTCTGATTTGACATGCTCACACATGCTTGCTGAATGCTCAAACCCCTAGTACTCAAAACCTTCTTTGCCCCTTCCATCAAACTTTCCTGGGTTTAATTTTGTCCCTCCTTCCTTCCACTCCTGATTTATACACTCTCTTAGTCATCCTGTCAGCTTCAACCTCTATAAATGCTCCAACCATCTCAACAACCCTAGCTCAGCCTTCTGAATTATACCTTTGGTAACACTTTTTCCTAATTTCTATGCTCCACTTCTCTGCAAAAGAGAAAAAGCCTTTTCTTGTGTAGCTCCCAGACTGTGTAACAGGTTACCAGTGACTATTAATACAGTGGATCCTTGTTTTTCGTAAGGCTCGAAATCCTAATTTTCGGAAATCATAACTTTTTTTTCATCAAACATTGACCCACGAATCATCGTTTGACTCGCAAATAGTCGTTCGTCTGGGATGCGTACGCATGGCCCCGAGCCACTTCACACTCCATTCCCAATCAGTGAGTGAGGATGATCCCACGAGTTCATATGATACATTTCATAATATTCCATTCGTTTTAGTGCTTGCAACTGCTAAATAAGTCACCATGGCTCCAAAGAAAGCTTCTAGTCCCAGCCCTTTGGTAAAGAATGTGAGAAACATAAAATTTAAGAAAAAGTTTGTAGAAAAATACGAAGGTGGTGGTGGTGGTAGAGTGGTAGCAGTTGTGATAGTGGTAGGGGGTGGTAGTGATGGGGGTAGAGGGTGGTAGCAGCTGTGATAGTGGTAGAGGGTGGTAGCAGCTGTGATAGTGGTAGAGGGTGGTAGTGATGGTGGTAGAGGGCAGTAGTGGTTGTGATGGTGGAAGTGGTTGTGATGGTGGTAGTGGTTGTGATGGTGGTAGTGGTTGTGATGGTAGTAATGGTTGTGATGGTAGTAGTGGTTGTGATGGTAGTAGTGAGAGTAGTGGTTGTGATGGTAGTAATGGTTGTGATGGTAGTAGTGGTTGTGATGGTAGTAGTGGTTGTGATAGTAGTGGTTGTGATGGTAGTAGTGGTTGTGATGGTAGTAGTGGTTGTGATGGTAGTAGTGGTTGTGATGGTAGTAGTGGTTGTGATGGTGGTAGAAGGTGCTTTCTTCATTGATTCTACTAATTCTTTCAATGTTGTTGGAGTTATAAAGGGCTACAGAAAACACCGACACCTCAGCTGCTGCTTCACCACCATTATGGACGGGTTATGCTCTCAGTGGCCCTTATACACCCAACAACAACAACAGAACACCTCTTGTGACATACATAATGACTTATTTTATTCATTCTAGAGTATATTCCATGTTTCTATATTATTAATATTGTTTATTATGTCATATCAGTTGAATTGTGATAGATAAATAAGCTGTACAGTTGATATTAGTGTCCTATTCTCCAACAATAAACTTGCCTCCGCTCTGTCTGCCCCGTCTGCCATACACCAACATGAGTCTTCAATAAATGTAAGTGCGATGTTAAATGTTCATTTATGCATTTTATTAGTGCTTTACATTTACAGTAGACTGTCATTTAGCATGGTAGTTATGTTCCTGAAAAAAGCCGTATTTAGTAAAATCGTGCGAGATGAACTGAAGAACTTATGGGAAAAATAGGTTTACATTCCTGGGAGCCCCCAAAAAGCCAAAACTTTTTTTTTGACCTCCACATCTTACAAAAATAAAAGTGAATATATAGTTTTAGTTCATTGTTATGATGTATAATGTTGTTTTTACTGCTTAAGACTACAAATGTAACAGAAGTAATAGTATTTCTTACCTTAAATTGTGGGTGCTGGTGTGTGTGGATGATTGTGAAGAGAGTGGAGTTATGCTGTGGCCCTACTGGGCTGAGGGGGATGGTAAGGGTTCTGGTACTTAAGTCGATGGTTGTACTGGAGTGTCAGTCAAGTCACTCAGTAAGTCAGTCAAGTCATTCAGTAAGTCAGTCAAGTCATTCAGTAAGTCAGTCAAGTCATTCAGTAAGTCAGTCATTAAGGAAGTCAGTCAAGTCACTCAGTAAGTCAGTCATTCAGTAAGTTACACAAACTTATATTTACCTCTTTTTCTGTGTACAAAGTAACACTTCATTACGGCTACAGGTTATCTGTATAATATCTTTGTTTCTTTGTTAATTCTAAAACTTGAAGTGCTTATACCTCTTCGTGCCACTTTCAGCAACACTGGTATGGCTACTGGGTGTCATGATTTCTTGGCAGAGACAAGATACAGTAATTAAAATATAACAATTCACAAACACAGCTGCATTGTAGCAGAGAAAGACTGGATGTGTATGAATTATGAACACTGGGATGGTGGGGTGGTGTTGGGAAGTGGCAGGGGATTGCTGGAGGGCTCCCCGGCTGCTCCACAACATGGCGGCCACTTGAGCAAAAGAGATTTTTTTTTTTTCCTTCCCACAAACTGAACCGAGTTAAATTAATTACACGACATGTTACATAAAATTGTGCCACAATTCTTCACTCGTGCAATACCCAAATCGTGCCAAATAAACTCGTGCTAAATGACTGTCTACTGTATTTGGCATTCTTTTCTGCATGTAAATCTATATTTAAGCTAGAGAAGTGGCCCCTGAAGTGACCTAGAGTCCTTATGGAGGGGGATTCCCCTTCCAAACAACACCCTCTCTTCCCTCTCTCCTCCTCCTTGCCTTCCATTCATCAACAACAGCTTTCAGTAAAGGAAAATGTCACATTGAATGTTCATTCTTTTGTGCATATAAATCTATCTATAAGGTAAAAAAAAAAATTTTTTTATTCTTTTTATATCATAGTTATTGTATTTATGGTTTGATGTGCAAGCACTTGAGGATTTCTTGACAGAAAGGACACAAGAATTATAAAATCCCAAATTTATGTTATCATCAAAATATCCACACCATATATTACTCCCAATTATGACAACTCCTCCTCTAGACTAATCCTCCTATTCATATTCATACTCATATATTTTATTTGGACATGATACATAGTTGTATAAGGGATTATAGTTCTTGGGTGTACATGCCAAAAGCCCCTTGCATGCAGGGCATTATGGGCAGGCTTAAAAATTAACTTAAAATTAACAAGCAATGAAAGGTTCAGTGGTAGAAATTACAGTAAGCAATTTACCACATGAAGTACAATTGAGTATTTGAAACAATGAAATTTGAACATTTCGATATTGAAGCATTATAGTTGTACAAATTTGTCAAATTACAATGTGCATGTATAACAAACAAGATGATGTCTTGAAGTTTTAAGATTTAAGTATGTAATTGGGAGAATTATTGGTAATGTTAAATATTGAGCATTGATTATTTAGTCCTGGGTGAGTAAGTGGTTTTTTAGAAGAGTCTTAAACTTATTTTTGGGCCTCGTTACTTTAGTATGATCTGGTAATGAATTCCAGATTTTGGGGCCCTTTATGTGCATAGAGTTTTTACACAGTGTGATATGGACATGGGGTACATCAAAAAGAGATCTGTGTCTTGTGTTAGGGTCGTGTGTCCTGTTAAGGTTGGTGAGTAGTAGTTTGAGTGGAGGGTTTATGTTTGCATGTATTGTTCTATGTATGTAGTAGGCACATGAATAAGTGTGGATGTTCTTTATTTTTATTATTATTTTTTTTATTAGCACACTGGCCGATTCTCGCCAAGGCAGGGTGGCCCGAAAAAGGAAAACTTTCACCATCGTTCACTCCATCACTGTCTTGCCAGAAGGGTGCTGTACACTACAGTTTTTAAACTGCAACATTAACACCCCTCCTTCAGAGTGCAGGCACTGTACAGTGGACCCCCGCATAGCGACCTTAATCCGTGCAAGAGGGCTGGCTGTTATGCGAAATGTTCGGAATGCGAATGAATTTTCCCCATAAGAAATAATGGAAATCAAATTAATCCGTGCAAGACACCCAAAAGTATGAAAAAAAATTTTTTACCACATGAAATATACATTTTCCTACACACAAAGAGAAGGATACATGCACAATAGTAGAGTAGTACATGCACAATATATATTGTGCATGTACTACTCTACTAAATGAAGAATAAATGACACTTACCTTTATTGAAGATGCAGCAATGACTGATGAGACACTGTGTCCTGGGAGTGCCTTTTCCTCCTGAGTACTGTAGGTCCTGTTTGGTATTTTCTTCCAGAACAGGCCTTATCACACTGTGTATGTCACTACGATTCTTAAATCTCTCAAACCAACCTTTGCTGGCTCTAAATTCACCAATATGAGCACTAGTTCCAGGCATTTTCCCTGTTCACCTGGGTGTTAGTCGACTGGTGTGGGTTGCATCCTGGGAGACAAGATTAAGGACCCCAATGGAAATAAGTTAGACAGTCTTCGATGACACTGACTTTTTTGGGCTAT